TTAAATAGTGACAATGTCAAACAAGTCCCAAGATTGAAAATTCGCTATGCTTGTAATCATCTCTTGAGCCACAAGTGATAATTATCCAAAATTTAATTTAATTCATACACAAAAATATTGATTTTCGGAAGTAAATGTACAAAGATTTCTCTCAATTGAACAATTCTCCACTAACTGTGGCATATCTAAAACATGATAAAATATTAATTTCATATGATAATATCTCAATGTAATTCATAAAAGAAAACATGCTAAAATATTTAATCATGGAATTAAAATTCACCAATATAAATAAATTATACTATTTAAAATAACAACATATTACAAGTTATAATCATTTAAAAGAACTTAACATACTATATACAGTATTTAAATAATGCCATGACATATTTTTATAATTTTTGCAATTTTCTGAAATTTTCTAAAATTACAAGTAATTAATAATTATACAAAAAATCAAAAATAAATATTACAGAATCTGGAAAAATATAAAAAATATACCAGTAAATAAGATTACGTAGTAATAGTGTACTGCAAAAATTTTAAGTTCAAAATCGAAGTCATGCTCTCCCAAGAACAATTTAATGTGAAAATGTTGAATTATTCATTAATAAAAAATATTTTATTTTTAAAAAAATTCTAAAACTTTAACATATTGCAGAAATATGAATTACAAGTCTAATGATATAAGTCATGCTTTAACTAAAATAATAACGAATATTTTACAACTTAACATAGTTTTGAATTTTAGGAAAGCCAAACAGGGCCCTTGCCCATCAGCAGCTACCAACCGTGCTTACATCAGCGTCAAGACTTCAATGTGATGATGTCAGTGCATGCCGATTCGCTTTCGTAGCTTTGCTGTTTGGAAAGTGAGTTTTTTAGAAGTTTTTTTGTGATTTGAATATTTTAATAGGATAGTTTAGTTTGTGTGTTTGAGAAGATGAAATGGATGAAAAATTTTATTTTCACACACCAAGTTTTCTTATTCTACACACTTAACGAATTTTTCAAGAATCACAATTTTATCTATTAACAAAATTATCATATCACCCACCATCATTTCACCTTCACAACTCATAATTTCCCCATAGACATCTCGCTCACCACCATCTCACCAGCCACTTCAGACCTCATGGATGATTGGACATACCTTTCTGAATCACAAATTGATCACCTTGATTAGCAAGTGTCAGTCTAGGAATTTTTTGGATGGATTTTAGAATAAGAGAGTTGTTCTCTAGAATCATCAGGTAGTTTTTAAGTTTTTTAATCGAAGCAGGTTTCCAAGCAACTGTAACTGGTCAGAATCAATCGTTCCCACCACCACCAAATAAAATAATAAGTAAAAAAATAAAAATAAAAAACTAATTTATGATGAACACAGAGAATGGTCTCCTGGTCCAGTTCATCCCCTCTCCCTTGCCTTAACATAGAGCCTCTGCAAAAATCGTACGTTTACATGTTTCTGATGTAAAATTTCATATTGCCATTTAACTGAAAGTTGGACTCTCACAGACACGGAGAATCCTTACATATTCTTTCTTCTTATTTTCACTATTCTTCTCGAATTGTATGCTGCTCTTGCTTTTTCCATCTTATGATGCCTTATATTATTTGTTTTACTACTCCTAGCATTTAAACTTCATTATCATCGTAAGGTTGACAAACGATTTCTGTAATCACTTATGTTATGTTTGGTTAGAGGATTTGAGGAGAGATTTGGAAAGAGAAAGAGAAAAGTTAGGTAAAATGTGAATAAAATACACCTACATTTCACCTAGTTTCACACACATTTTTCCTTTTTCTTTCCAAATCCCTCCCCAAATCTCCAAATCAAACACAACATTAGTGCTACATTAAAATAATTTGGAATTGTTTAGAATATTCTAAATAAGTGTACTTTTTGACTTTTTATAAAATATGAGTTGAATTTGAAGTGATGTGACTTAAATAAAATGATATGACTTAAATAATATAATAATTTTTTGACTTTTTAATTTTTTTGAAACACCCCAAACAAGGCCTTTGTCTCCCTCTCAATTTTTCATCACAGTTGGTTGAAAGCAAATATTTGTGAAAAATGATGCAAACCACTAATTAGTGGTTGCACCACATCTGTTTTGTGACTTAATTTTTGTTTTTTTTTTAACTTGTCACATCATTAATGATGGTGTTAGTGGTAGAAATTTAGTGATCTATAACATTGTTATTTATACAATAATGAAGCAAAAAGCGTCTGATGAAATTCAGCTGTCAGAACCTTTCAATATTGAAAAATGCTTGGGAGCACTAATTAGTGCTCTCACTAATTAGGTGGCAGTTTGTTCCGCCATTAATGATGTGATGTTTTGGTCTTGGAGTTGTATTTTTTTTTTTTTTTACTTTTTTAATACATTAGTACTATTAGTGGTGATATTTTTAGTGGGATGAATCATTGTTGTTCAAAATTTTTGAATTTGACTTTAGCAAAAAGCCAGAAAGCCTAGGCAAAGCCAAATTAAAAATTGCCCCTATTGCTATTTAATTGCAAATATAGAGTCAATATCCACGTGGCCACCATTTATACCACATTACAAATTGAAAATTGTATTGACACGTGGCCACCGTTGCAATCTGTCAAAACCAAGGGTGCAAACAATTGTTCAAAATTAATTTCCCATTAATCAAAACACCGTTGCAATGCACTAAATTTTTTTTGCAGAAAATTAATCAAAACACCGTTGCAATCTGCCATATTAAAATTAATTAAAATTTAAATTCATTGAAAATTGAATCACTTTCTCCAGAAAATAAAAAACATTCACCGTGTTTGATTTGAATTTTTTGGATTAAATTTTTTGAAAATTGAGATTTTTAATTTTCGTATTTTTTTATTTTTAGTGAATATTTTTAAATTTTTAAACATTTTTTTACTTTTTTAGATGCACCTTACTTAGATGTATCTAAAAAATAAAAAAAATGTGAAAAAATATTTAAAAAAATTAAGAAATACATAAAAATATAAAAAAATCTACTAAATTCTTGTATTTTTTTTCTATTTTTAGTATTTAGTGAATTTTTAAAAGTTTTTGTACAATTTTTTTACTTTTCAGATATATTTATGTTAGGTGTGTCTAAAAAGTAAAAAATTTGCATAAAATATTAAAAAAATTCAGTAAAAACAAAAAAACACAGAAAATAAGAAAGTAAAATTTTTTGAAAACTGTTTTTAGAAAATGGGAACCAAGCAAGGTGATTGGTTTGTCAACATTTATTTTTATTTTTACATATAAAAATTAATTGAAAATTTTGTTTGTTTCATTGAATTTGTGCAAAGAAAAAACTAAATCACTTTCTATTTCTTGCACATCATTCAATCACTTTTTCTGACTCTTCTCTCATTCTCAGTTACTTCTTCGTTCACACACATCTATTCAACTACAATAAAATTATTTTCTGGACTCTTCTACTCCAAAATTAGTTCGAAAATATACAACCAAACAAACCAACTAAATTTCTAAACTCTTTCTCCATTCCCCATAATTAATTTTCAAAATTTGTCTCTACAAACAAAACCAAACAATTCCTAAGGTAGTGTTCGGTAACATTTACGTTTTTTTTGTTTATGTTTACAAAAATTTGTTTAACTGATTTTTGTTTTTTTTTGAAAAAACATAAATTACAAACGCGTTTGGTTTGAACATAATGTTTAAAAAAATTTAAAAACATAAACTAAAATATGTTTGTTCATGCCTAAAATATTTATATTTATTTTTATTATTTATGACAATGAGATCACACACATTATAATTTAAAAAAAAATTAATTAAAAAAATAATTGAAAAAAAATTTAATTGGAAAAAAAAATTAATTATAAAAATTATTTGAAAAAAATTAATTGAGAAAAATAATTAATCGAAAAAAAAATTAATTGAAAAAAAATTATCTGAAGAAAAAATTATTTAAAAAAAAAAAATGAACTACGGAGCGTGTTGCTTGCCAGAGCAATATCCACGGAGGGTACAACTGTCTTTTGCACCTACATAATGCCATACAGCTGCACTCAGCCTTAACTGTGCGGGATTTTGAAATTTTTTTCCGTTGAGGCGTAAAACATGCGCCAAACCTGCTTGCCAAACACCGCCAACTGTAACTCCTGCCTAAAAGTATGGTTTGAGTTTTCACTTTAACCTTAAGTCAAAATTAGATTCATAATATATTATTTCAAAAATTTCAAAATAAAAATTTTAAATACATAATTTTAACAACATAAAAATAAAATATGTAAAATTAACATACAATCAAAGTTATGAAAATTAAATATGAATTTCTATTTTTTTCAAAATCTAATCATTACAGATATACTCTATATTATATGGACTATAACATGGTGGTGTTTGGGAAGTTGGTTCCCAAATTTTTTTCTCATTTTTTCCACTAAAAGACAGAAGTTTTGCAAAATCAAAAAAAACACATCCAAACAAAATATCACATCCAACCCCATAATCATTTCACTTTTTCTCTCACAAACATCACATCCAACCACATAAAAACCCAACTATCTTCCCAAACACTAAAATTTTTTTATCTCATAAAAACCTACATCTACTAAAATCTACATAAAAACTCACTTCCCAAACACCATCCATATAAAAAATTTAGGACGATCAAAGATGATTAAAAAAATATTAATTTTTATGTACAAATCATATCTATACATATATTTATATACAAATAATACGAAAACACCCAACAATAGTTTTGATACCTATATAGGGAAAATAAGAAATATTACACAACGGAAATAAACGTATTTAAATATACCTTTTACGCTTAAACTGAATCTATAAATCATGTGAATGAATCATATATCTCTATTAATATTTTTGAGTAATTTCTAGCAAAGCAGTAGAGCTACTAGAAAACTATCCACGCTCTTTACCGTACAAAAGCTATTATGTGTCTCTAGGAAGCTTCCCCAGTTGGAAAATATAGAAAATTTTATAGAAATAGAAAGAAGAATGACTTGGTCTGGGTCTCCACTTGTGTAATTGTCAACCAAAATAAACTCCACTCCAGCAGAAGAGACAAAGTAGTAGTAGTTGTATCTTCATCATTTCACCACTACTAGTATATCATTTGCTTCCACATTCACAACGAAGATGTACATATAACCACCACCAATATAGATACATATACATAAAATTACAAAACATCAGTTAATTTTCAAAAATACCCATATTTGTTGGTGGTGAGGTAATAATAATGGAGGTGTGGTCATGCCCAACAATCCCAACTTTGCAGAGGCCTTGGTGGTGGAGGTGGGTTAGTATTGGAGGAGAAGAAGAAAGGAGGAGGAAGAGAGAGTTATGTAGCTCTGTATTTTCTGCTCTTCTTCACTACCTCTTCTATGCTTTCTTCTCTTTCTTCTTTGCTGTAGGTATGTACCCCCCTCTCTTCCCTTCCCCTCTCTCTCTCTCTCTCTCTCTCTCTTCAGAATATGAATTGCTATGACCTCTCTATCTCTCTCTCACACACACAGGATTTATGAGAATATATAATGGAACATATAAATCCCAAACTCCCTTACAAATCTACTTGGGATAGACTATTAAATTTGTCCATAAAATTTTAAAGATTTGATTACACTTGACATTTTTATATTTTTATTAAAATTTCATATTATTTATTATAAAATCTCATATTATTTATTTTCTCTTTTAATTATAATAGTTAATTTTTTAAATTTTAAATCAAGTTGTCTAAAGTCTCAATAAAATCAAAATGGCTTAATATACATAACTCCGAAAGTATGTATTTTTTGTTGCATTTTGGTCTCCAAAATATACATTTTGTTTCATTTTTGATTCTTAAAAGCAGGTACTTTATTACATTTTGATCCTTAATCTTTTAATTTTATTATTTTTTCCCCCCTCCCTTGCATAGCTCCAAAAAATACATTTCTTCCCGTTATTAATATTGAATTGTATTAACACGAGCTAAACTATAACAATCACATATCCTAGAGATAAGAGTGAAAAAAAATTAAAAATTAAGAATTAAAGAGTATAATAGCTCCTCTCTCTTTCTCCCTCTCTCCTCCTCTTCCCTCTCTTTCTCCCATCTTCTTCCATTTTTGAGCCGTTTCGAGCTCGACCCTTTCGAGCTACGAGACATTTTCGAAAATCAAAATGGCTTAATATACATAACTTCTAAAGTATGTATTTTTTGTTGCATTTTGGTCTCCAAAATATACATTTTGTTTCATTTTTGATTCTTAAAAGCAGGTACTTTATTACATTTTGATCCTTAATCTTTTAATTTTATTAGTTTTTTTTCCCTCCCTTGCATAGTTCCAAAAAATACATTTCTTCCCGTTATTAATATTGAATTGTATTAACACGAGCTAAACTATAACAATCACATATCCTAGAGATAAGAGTGAAAAAAAATTAAAAATTAAGAATTAAAGAGTATAATAGAAAGCATATTTTTAAAACTATTACATTGTGTTTGGTTGAGAGTTTTGAGAAAGGATTTGAAAATAAAAAGAAAAAGGTAGGTGAATTATAAGTAAAATATACCTACATTTCACATTATTTCACACATCTTTTTTATTTTCTTTTCCAAATTTCTTCTCAAATCTCTCAACCAAAAACAACATTAGTGTAATTAATCATAATTAATTATTACATGTCTTGGCCGTCATCCTTATTTGTTAAACTAAAAACCTCGAGAGTCTTAATGAATTCACACAGAGCTTCCTATGTACATGTTGATATACACAATGTCGCTTATGCAGTTATTTTAAAAACATACCTTTTTTTGAACAACCCAAATATATTAAGAAACCAAGGCTAAAGCCTTACAAAGTCCTTCAGGATGGTTACACACCCAATTAGAGGGAAGAACACCTTTAAGAAAGTCCTTAGCAGTCCAATGAGCTGCTTTGTTAGCCTTACGAGGAGTCCACAAAAAAGAAAGATTACACTGGTTAGCTAATCTTCGAATATCCTCAATGATAGGAGCACAACTCCAGGGTGGATCATCCCCAGAGACACTCAAGCGAATGACTTTTTTGTTATCACCGACAATCTCCACATGAGACAGGTTTAGATCACAAGTCAAAAGGCACGCCCATCTGATTGCCATAGCTTCGCCTTGCATGACAGACCCCACTTCCTCAATTCTGACCACCCTATCCAAAAGAGTGCCTTCAGAATCTCGGAGTAAAACAGCCATGTATGGTCTCGAAGAGCCGGGTTTAATTGCCATATCACAATTGGCTTTGAACCTCCCTAGCAACGATGGAGACCACGACCTGGGAACATCAATCACAGGATTGGAGAGGCTTGGTGGACGATGATTTTGTATAAAGTGACTGGCAGATTCAAAGTGGTCCTTCTCGACTGTGTAGATGGTGGCAACCGAATCAACGGGGTGATGATTAAAAGCAAAATTGTTCCTGCTCTTCCAAATGTGCCACGCCAACCAAAGGATCTTGCACAAATAATCCACGCGATCATGCTTATTTTTGATAGCCTGATACACCTCACACGTCCATTGCTGAATCGAGCCAATGGTTCCTTCGACGAGAGAAATGTTTAAGCTGCTTCTAAACCAGACTGCCCACGTCCATTCATACCCACATAAAAGATGCTCCACAGTCTTTGTTTCCTTATGGCAGATGGGGCATAAAGCATCCTTTGCGCATCTATGTCGAAAAAAGATTAGCTTTAGAAGCTAGGAGATTGTTATAAGCCCGTCACAAAAAATGCCGAAGTTTGGGAGGGATTGGAAGGGCCCATAGAAATTTCCAAACATTCTCTGGAACCTGGAAGGATGATGACACCTTAATACCAGCTTGAGTCTGTTGATGCTCGAATTCTACTCGATACCTCGACTTGACTAAAAAATTGCCTCTCAAATCATAGTGCCAAATTAGGCAATCATCTTGGTTGACAATTGCGATGAGGGTCGCACAGATCCCAACTGCCTCCTCCGAAGACACCAAACTATGCACCAGAGCTTTTTTCCAGCTTTTGGTATTAGGATTAATAGCCTCATTCACATTGGTTACGGAGCAGCCAATAGGTGGATGAGATTTAATGTCGAAATCTTGAGAAAAAGCAACCCATTTGTCAGTCCAGAAATCAATGGGCTGCCCATTGCAAACCTGCCATCGAACCTCTCGATTTAACACCTCACAGCCCTCCAAAATACTTGCCCAAGCCCACGATGCCTTAGCACATTTTCTAGCATTCCAAAAATTTCAGTGTGGGTAGTACAAGCCCTTGAGAAATTAAGCACAAAAAGAGTGAGGGTATTTGCACAGTCGCCATCCCTGACGAGCTAACAATGCTTTATTAAAAGAGCTGAAGTCCTGGAAACCCATCCCTTCTTTAAGCTTTGACATGGACATCGTAGCCCACGAGGCCCAATGGATGCCTCGACTTTCCGGATCACCTTTCCATAAAAAATTACTCAACAAAGAGTTCAAATCAGCACAGAGTTGTTTGGGAAAAAGGAAGCAAGCCATCGCAAAAGTGGGGATAGCTTGAGCAACCGATTTAATGAGAATTTCCCGGCCCGCATGGGTTAATAACTTAAGCTTTCACCCTTGAAGTTTTTCCTATACCCTTTCCACAATAAAGTTATAGGTCCCCACTTTTAATCTCCCCCAACATGCGAACAGCCCAAGATATGTAGATCTTTCTTTGACTAGGGCAATATTCATAACATCACAAATTTGTCGTTTAAGAGCCAATCCAATATTCAAGGAGAACTGGATACCTGACTTTCCAAAATTGATTCGTTGGCCTGAAGCGTTATTGTAAATATCTAAGGCTCTAAGGATTTTGTGGCATTGGTTAACATTCGCTTGAAGGAATAAGATAGCATCCTTTGCAAAAAACAAGTGTGACAAGATTGGGCGTGTTCATCTAGGTTGAATCCTCGAGAATTCCATAGCCCTCAAGCTTCTGTGAAGAAGCTTAGACAACACCTCAATCACCAAAAGGAATAAGTAAGGAGAAAGAGGATCCCCTTGCTGGATTCCCCGAGAGGGCCTAAAAGCAGTTCGTTTAGCTCCATTAGCAAAGACCTCAAATGTAACTGTAGAAACACATTGCATGACCTAATTGACCCATTTCTCATGAAAGCCCATCCTTTGCATTATGGCTTGAAGAAAATCCCATTGAACCCGATCATAGGCTTTGTTGAAATCAAGTTTGACGGCCATATTCGATTGTTTGCCCTTCTTTTGCAATTTTAGAAAATGAAAAGCTTCACGGGCTGCAAGAATATTGTCTTGGATAATTCTTCCGGGCACAAAGGTGAATTGATTGGGGGATATGATCTTACTAAGCACACACTTCAGTCGGTTGGCCAAAACTTTTGTGATGATCTTGAGCGTAAAATTACATAAGCTAATTGGTTTAAAGTGTGACAGTGATTCCAGAGCTTTAATTTTCGAAATTAAAACCAAATTAGTGTGGTTCCAATCTTTCGGCATAAAACCATTCATGAAGAAATTGTGGACTGCTATACAAACTTTAGTCCTAATCTCAGTCCAATACCGATGGTAGAAAAATCCAGGATACCCATCAGGTCCAGGGCCCTTAACAGAGCCCAACTGAAACACCGCCACCCAGATTTCTTCATTGGATACCTCTTTGATTAACCGAAGGTTCATCTCATTTGTGATGACTTGATTCACCACACTCAAGGCCTCTGTCATATCTCGATGACCATCAGAAGAAAACAAGCCTACAAAATAATTGTGTAGATAGGCATTAATATTCTCTTCCTATTCAAGCCATAACCCACTTTCAGATTTGAGGCATACCAACTGGTTCCTCTGTCGGTGTTGGGTGAGTGTTGCATGACAAAACACAGTGTTTCTATCCCCAAACGATAGCCAATTAACCTGAGAACGTTGATGAACGAACATTTCCTCCTTGAGTAACAGATCTTCGAGCTGAAATTGTATGAAACCTTAGTCTTGGTAATTCTGAGGTGTGGGAGGAAGGCCTTGAAAGTGGGCCAACTGGCGTTTACAAGCATCAATCAACTTCTTGTTATTACCAAACTTAGTCTTACTCCAAGTCAACAGATCTCTCCTGCAAGCGTTCAAACGTTAGGTCAGTTGGATCATAAAGGATCCAATTGTTGATGAAGCCCAGGCTCGCTTAATAATTTCTCCATACTCTGGTTTCGTAGACCACATGGATTCGAATTTAAAAATCTGAGGGATTTACTTTGGGGGAAGGCAACAGTTAATAATCAATGGGCAGTGGTCTGATCCAATGATACTTTCATGATGAATTTGAGCAGAAGGAAATCAATTACGCCACTCCACCGTAGCAAAGGATTTGTCCAGTCTTTCTCGGATATTAGCTTCTCTGACCTGGCTGTTCATTCAGGTATAGGCATTACCTTTGAATTCAAGATCCATTAGAGCACATTCCGAAATCATAAACTGGAAACCTTCAATTTGAGATCTGCTACACACCAAACCACCTTGTTTTTCCCACATTAAGCCTACTTGATTGAAATCACCAACACACAGCCACAAGTAATAATTGCTACGAGTTTGGTTTATTAAAAGCTTCCAAAATTTCTTGCGGTCTGATCTAGATGGAGGAGCATAAATAAAGGATACAGCCCACACATTATCCACTCCAACATTACCAACCGTACACCGAATGAGATTTTTTGATCTAAATCTAACATCTAAGCTTACTGAATCCATCCACTAAAGTGCTACGCCACCTGAAGCTCCCACTGGATTAACATAGATACTATTTGAAAACTGACATCTTCTGCGAATTCTTTCTAACTTTAACGCTTTATTTTTTGTATCCATCAAAAACACTATAGTGGGGTGATGGGTTGAACACAACCCTCAGAGGATGTGGACTATCAGAGGTCGCCCCAACCCCTGATGTTTCAGCTGAGAATCAACATGGAGCGTGTGGCTGTTGAGGGCCAGCCACCAGTGCCCATTCTGTGGTCTCAATACCTTCTGTTGGATTAGTGCTAGGGACTTGAGAGCAACAATCGCCCACTCCCTCTTGATCCCAAGCAATGGGAACATGAACCAATGCCCCGTTATCTTCAACAGTTAAGTCTTGTGGCAAGCTGTTACGAGGCTTATTGTGTTTGGGAGATTTCTTTCTTCTCGCGTTACGAACTAGCTTCCTTTTCGGCGCTGGAGTCTGCAAATGAGAGGAGCCAATTGCACCAGCAAAACTAAACTTACTCCCTTTGGGCTGAGATGTGTCAACTAAAGCTTCAGAAGCCTTCTGTTTAATGGATAAGTCTTTAAAGAAAGATGCCATGCATTTATCAATAGTCTGGTCTACAAAAGACACTTTAGTTGGGCTGGAGTTTGGGCTAATTTCCTCAATTCCAATTTCATTGACAGGCCCAATTCCACTTTCATTGCTGAGGGTTGCCTTTATTAACAGATTGTGATCCACAGGTTCGGTAACGAAATATTGAGGCCTAAGCCCAATAGAGGATTGGGCCGAAGGCATCAAAAGCTTGGTTGGTGTAATTTCCTCAGGAGATACAATTCCCTTCCTGAGATGATCTCTCTCAGTCACTTGGGAAACCTTTATACTCCCTATGACTACCTTATTGGTTGGCACTAGTTGACCACCTCGACCACATCCCTTATCACTAGCTGACACCATATTCGATCTCAGAGGAAAAGCATACCTTGGAAGATCAGCTTCGACATAGTCTGTAGCTACCTTAAGGTCTGTAGTGCCTGCAGTAGTAGCATGATCTGTTATGTTAGTTTGGCATTTGTGAGTCATCTTGCACGTATCATCCATACTCGTCACCATCGGCCGTTGGTTTACCAGGTTTCTTACTCTTTCCTCCGCCGTATCGACCCCGTGGCGTACTTGTTTCAGCAGAATATCGAGTCTAGGAGCTCTACTAGTTCGAAGCTCCGGACCATAGCTAGAGTTCTTACCCTCTTCACGAGAGACAAACTTACAAGAAGAATTATCATGTCCCAACCTACCGCAATCGTAGCAAAAATCCGATAATTTCTCATAGTTGTAGAAGACCCAAGATTCCTTGTTCTCAGATCCATGGTGTTGTAGAATAAAACCCCGAGGAAGGGGTTTGGACAAATCCACTTCCACTCTAAGCCGAGAAAACTCCTCTCCAAAAGAAGGCCGTCATGCAAAGCTTCGATCCCTATAAGATTCCCAATTCTCCGACCAATAATCTCACCATTCTGCCTTGTTAGTTTGGCCACGAGGATTCCATGGACCTAAATCTAGAAAGGGCTCCATTTGAAATCCATCTCTTCAACTGATCTCCATGTTGCTAAAGGTTGAAAAACCAGCAAATAGCCCGTTACAAACCAAGGAGCCTCCATGAGAACTCTCCGTCGGTCTTTGAGATCAATATATTGGAACAAAAAGATGTTGTTCGACCAAGAGGATATTGCCAGTTTAGCTCATATTTTCTAGGCTCCTTAAATGATATTCGAAACCACAGTCTTATTAAGGGTTTTGGATGCCAAAATCTTCCCTACCAAACAGAGGTTGAAAACCTCAACTTTTTCATCCAACCCCTCTTGAAGGTCCACGCAATCTAGACCGTCCGGTGTAAGTGAGAAAGTTTCCATGGGGAAATGCTAGGGCTGAGTCAAAGGATAAGACAAAGCGTAACAGCCAAAACCCTCGAAAAGGCTAAACCTTTTCACACAGAAGTTATCAGGGGCTTAAGGAGATAGGAAAACCTTGGGAAAGGAAAGACCCCAGCAAAGCTACCAAGAAGTAGAGAGAAATCTCACAGAGGAGAGAGAGTAGTGTCCGTTGTTGTTAGTTTAAAACACACCTTTACTTCGATATCAAATGTTATATAAAAAAAATAAAATAATAATAATAATAATAAGTGACTAAAAACCCTTTTCAGCACCCATTAATTTTAAAAGAGATAATGAAACTTAGTTCGACAGTATATATGACATCTTGAGACTTCATTCTTTTGATGATAATGATCATATATATATATATATATAATTGTGTTTGTTTTGTAGTTGGGATGACGATAGGAGCAATGGCAGGGGCAGTTTTGGGGATGAAAAGTGAGAGGAAGATTGGATTAGTACATGGGGCTGCTGTTGGAGCATTCACTGGAGCTTCTTTTTCCCTTCACGCCGTTAGTGCTTCGTTTTCTCTCTGGATTTCATTTCATGACAATGAACCTCTCTCTCTCCCTCTCTTCGTGAGTCCCTCTTCATCTTTCTCTTTTTAGAATCCGCTTTAATGACAGTTTCATGCATTTATTTATTTATTTTTAATCTTTTTTTTCTTTTTTTGGGATCAATCAAAAGAGAACCTCTATTGATGAAACATTCAATACAAATTAAACAAGTATTACATCAATAAAGGGAGAGAAAGATGGTGCAAACATCATCATAGTTTACATTTTCAATCACATCTAAGTTGGCATCAAAAAGTAAACACAATCATCTGACAGCACCGCCCAAGGCTAGTGAGAAACCAACTAAAAAGAAAACAAGAAAGTAGCAACAGCAGTAGCAGTCCACCCACATTATTTATTTATTTTTAATCTATAATTTGTAATTTGGTGTTAGTTCATTTGAAGTCTTATAAATAAAGGATTTTGTTCGTCTACTTGTAACAATACCGGACTTGTACAGGCAACCATATATGTAGAGAGAGAGAGAGAAAGAGATTTGATACTAAAATTTATGAGTGAACTTCCAACTCATGTTTACACTTAAGCTTTATTATTGGGATCTTGGGATCTCGAATTTAAGTGTGAATTTGTGAATGTAAAGAAAAAATGCAAGAAATTCATGATATATATATTTTTTAATCCATAACAAAGATAGTTTATATTACAATTTACATATAGTTTGAACTCAAATTTATGGATGGATTTCTAATTCATGTTTACACATAAATGTGATATAGATTGAGGTTATCACAAGCATTCTGAATCCAACACTAGTGTACCTAGGAGAAAAGTTTGGTCCAGGCATGCATGGTCCAGTAAGGAATCAGGTAAAGCTTTGTTTATTCCAAAATCACTATCACATAGCTTTTGGAAGGTCATGAAAAGGAAAAATGCCTCATACACCCACTGGGGGGTTGACCCCCAGTGAGGTGGCACTCCATTATTGGCAAAAAAAAAAAAACTATTTTTTTTTTTTTTTTTTTTTTTTTATAAGTTTCAACCAGTGGGGGCACAACACCTCACTGGGGGTGCGACCCCCACTGGGGGTATGCAGCACTGCTGTCATGAAAAGTAAGATACATAGACATACCTATTTTGGAAAGGTGATTGAAAATTGATTTTTTAATTTTTTTTAATTTTTTTTTTGAAAAAACGTGTAAAAAATATAAGAGATGATATAATTTAAAATGAATTAAAACTTAGAAGATAACTTTTAACCATCTTCCCAAAACAATTGTAAAATACCAAAGGGTTGTTTTGGGAAGTAAGTTAAAAAATAATTTTTTTAATACTTTTTGAAAAAACATGTAAAAATGTAGAGAAATAATATGACTTAAAATAAGTTAAAAGTCAAAAAGTGATTTTTAACCTTTTACCCAAAAGAGGCCATATACTCGAATCCCGAATCGATTATGACCCCTTCCATTCTAGGTATGTAATGGAGGATTTTTATTGCATATCTAATGATTATGAAATAGGGATGTAAATTTATTATTATTTTAAACTAACCATGCTTGAAATTTATTAGGCAAAATATATTAGTAGTCCCTATATTTTAGTCTTTGTGTCATTTTGATTTCTAATTTTCAATTATCTCGATTTCAGTTCTGAATTTATGATTTTATCTTAATTTAGTCGATTTAATTACATTTTTTTTATTATAGAAAATTTGCACATAAGCGTTACGTGTCATGTTTTTATACGTAAATTTGTAAACTATTTTAATTTTGTGAGTTCACTTGGTCATAATTTTTCTTATAAAACCTTAATCATTGTTATTAATTGGACCAAATTGATACAAATTTAAAATTAATGATTAAAATTGAGCTAATTGAAATGATAGTGACAAAAATGACACAAAGAGTAAAATGTAGAGACTGCTAATGTAATTTACTTAATTTATAAATAATTAGGATGTGAATGCTGATGATGCTGATCAGGTGGCCACTGTTGAAACAAACAATCAAGTCCCAAGATTTATAGACAGAAAGGGGGGCAATGCTTTACATAGAGGTTCAATACTTGATAATCTCCCAAAGACTAGAATCACAGATAAGAATATCTATGACTCTTCAGGAAATAGAATCTCCTGCTCAGTTTGCCTTGAGGTATATATATCACCTTCAATTTGATACTTTAATTAGTTTTGGAATGATAATATCGGACGGGATTGGACATGAAAGAAAAATATACGACTACTCGTGTTATCTGATGCAGAAATAGTTTGGATTAGATACTTGAATTACAAGTCTTGTCTGGAAAATATCTCATTAATTTAGAAGCTATTAAAGTTTCTTAATATTATCCACACTCCAAATTTGTAGACTTTCAAGATGGTAGCCTCAAGATAAATGAATAGAGAGGGAACTTAATATTTTTGGAGTATCTACACAATGTTGAGCATGAGCCCTTATATAGACATATATGACAAATTATGTGTACCTCATGGTTAGGCCATACCATGTATACTACATGTTTAAGACCATGTGTTCCTAATGGTTTTCAATACCATGTGCCTCTCATGGTTAGACCATGTGTAGATGGACCATGTGTATCATGTAACCCTCAAAGTTAAGCCACACCATGTGTACTATGAGGTCACACCATGTACACTTACCACATGATTTCCAACAAGACACAAGCAAGAAAATATTGGGTGATTTTTCACTTTTAGGAGGGAGATTGTTACTAATGAAAGATACATGAAAGTTTTGATATTTTGCTTTTAATTATTATATTTAATGAATTAAATTATATATTGATATATATACATTCAAAAGTTATTTAACTAACATAATTACAAAAGGGCGGAGAAATTGGATTGGGAAAAGCAAATTCCATCCTCACTTTAATTTTAATTTTATTTTTTTATCGATGAAAGAAACATGATAAACTACTATTTCTACCTTAGTTTTTTATTCGTTTTTGGAAAGTCTAGGAACCCGAAAATGACCTGATGACACATTTACAAATCCCACTATATTTTTATTTCATGAGAGATAAAAATATGAGAAATTATATATATATGAATTTTTACTTTTATTAAATTTTTAACAAATTAAGAAAATGGGATTGGGAAAATAAATCTGGTCCCCTCTCTATTTTATTAGATTTTACTTTATTTATCTTTGTATTTTTACATTATTTGCATTAGATTTGGTCTATTTAAACATTACTAAAAAAAAAATTACCCATAATTATACTAAAATTATGAATTTTGCTGTATTTTTTTTAAATCTTATGAAAGATTGGTGTATTTTACTCTTTATTAAAATTTTTTTTTTAAAGTATCAAAAATAACCTAGAAAAGATTGGTGTTTATACGAAGGAGGCCCGCTAGTTCTTATGCCCACAAGTGTTTTTTGGATATTTTTTGGATAAATTTTCAGAAATATAGAGAATTATAGTAGGAATGGCTCCCTATAAATTGAGTACACGCTTGAACTTTTTCAATCATAAATTTAGATTAAAAAAAAAAAAAAATAGAAAAAAGGAAAAAAAAGAAAAAGAAAATCAAGAGAGAAAAAAAACAACGTTTATTAGTGATAAAGCCCATTTGTAGGAAGAAATATGGTATTTAGATTCAATGATTAATCTTAATTTCTTTTTTTTTTTGTGATAATAACCTAATTAATGAAATTATTTGGTGTGAAATTGTTATTTTGAAGGAATTTTTTTGTCACTTTTACGTTACTGCCACCAACCGATCACTGACATTGGAAAAATGTCTGGAAAAGTCGCTGCCACCGGCAACTGGTGGCGGAAGTGATATGGATAAATATGTAGATTAGGTGGATCGATAGAAAGATAGATAAGGATAATATGATTTTTAAAATTATTTTATCTTTTTGGCAATAAAAAAATAAGCTTAGGACTATTGTCTAAAAAATTTTAAAATTGAATTTATGATCTGAGTCTTCCAAAATTTAACTTATATTTTATTAACATATCTTTACCTTTTCTTTTTTACTTTCTAAATTTTTATACAAATTTATAATCATAACATATCCTTAAGATCTCCATAAATTTTTCAATAGAAAAATTGGGTTATGTAACAAAATTGTTTATTATTTGGATAAGTTCATACATAGATCCCAAAACGTGCATGACTTCTAATATTAGCTTTAAACAGAAAACTTTATTTTAATTTTTTTTTTTTCTTGTGTATTTCTTTTATTTGATAGGATTTTGAAGTTGGAGAAGTAGCTGAAAAGTTGCCAATATGTCTGCACATGTTTCATCGACGTTGCATTGCTAAATGGCGCGTTACGCACCGGTCTTGCCCCTTATGCAGAACCAACCAATAAGACTGTGGGAAAATTACCAATAGGTGTTATTTTGAGATTTATTATCCATTAAGTTCTACTGATAAATTTATCTAGTCTATTTTTTTTATAAATAAATTTACCGTAATAAATTTATCTGTGTCTTTGTTTTTATGAATAAATTTATAATGATAAATTTATTAGTCTTTTGTTTTTGTAATGATAAATTTATCAGTTAGGACCTGTAGGTAAATAAGTCTAGTTAATAGAACTGATTGGTAAGTGTTCCTCACACTTTGACATTTCAGTTTTTAGCTATTTTTTCTTTTTATTTGGAAGAATTTTTAATTTTTTTATAAAATGTTTGGAAGAAATTTTTTTTATTATTAAAAAAAAAGAATGTAAAAGGTAATGTGATCTTTAAATTTTTTAAAGATGTCTTCTAGAGTTAAATTTACCTCCAGTTCTCAAATCGGAGGGTGTTGTTCCGGCTTTTGAAATTCATCACAATTGTAAGATAAATTGATAGAGAGAGAATTACAGAGAAAATAAATTGTATGTATTATGATTGATGTAGATTATATATTACAACTATGTATTACAAATGGTGGTGAGAGGCTCCTTATATAGGAGATGTAGTGGAGTAGGTGGTAGTGGTAGGTGGTAGGTGGTAGGTGGAGTGGGTTAGGTTTAGTGGAGTAGAGGTGGTAGGTGGAGTGGGTTAGGTTTAGTGGAGTAGGTTTAACAGCCCCCCTCAAACTCAAGGAGGTTAGACATAAACCAACTTGAGTTTGGAGAGAGTAACAAAACAGAAAAATAAGTTGACAAATAAAATTAAAAAATGGGATAGGAGACACTGTATGGTCGTGTCAGACCGTTGTAGAAGACACGGTATGGTCGTGTCGGACCGTTGTAGCAGGACAGTTTACGAGGTCATGCTGGACCGATGTAGCAGACACTGTGTGGTCGTGTCAGACCGATGTAGAAGACAGTTTATGGGGTCATGTCGGACCGCTGTAGAAGACAGTTTATGGGGTCATGTCGGACCGGTGTAGCAGGACAGTTTACGATGTCATACCGGACCGTTGTAGAAGCTGACCGGAATCAATGTCGGGACAGTTTACGGGGTCATGTCGGACCGGTGTAGAAGGACAGTTTACGGGGTCATGTCAGACTGGTGTAGAAGACAGTTTACGGGGTCATGTCGGACCGTTGTAGAAGACAGTTTACGGGGTCATGTCGGACCGATGTAGAAGCTGACCGGAATCAATGTCGGGACAGTTTACGGGGTCATGTCGGACCGTTGTAGAAAATTGTGGGTGACTTAGGGAGTGCGCCATGGGCGACTTATACATGATACTGTGTATAACCCCCCCTCAAACTCAAATAGGTGTGAAGATAGAAACCTATTTGAGGTTGAAACAAAGGGATTGATAAAGCTGACCGGTGTAGAAGACACTGTATGAGTGTGTAGATAGGCTGCCCAAAAGATATACATGGATAGAGATATCGAGCCCTCAAAAGTCGTGCCCTCAAAAGGTGTGCCCAATCTTTCAAAAGGCGTGCCATCAAAAGGCGTGTCCAATCCATAAAAAGGTGTGCCATGAAAAGGCGTGCAATCAAAAGGCGCGCCCAGTTTGTCGTCGAGCGCCGAGCGGCGCATGATGCGCGTGTCTGCCTTGGCTATTTAACCAAGACGGAGGCTGAGGCTGAGGCAGAGGCTCAGACAAAAAACCTGCGAAAATCCTCTGAAAAACTCTTCCGTTTCTGAGAGAAAGACTCTGTAACACTCTGTTGCCCAGAAAATGGCGTCGTCGTCCCGTGGTCTGCTCACTTTCTTTCCCGACCTCAACGAGTCAACAAGAGAGATAACTGGTGCGGTGGCGAGTGAACCTCAACCAAACACCTCGGGTTTTGCTCCGTTGAACTTTCCGATGCGGTCTGTGGAGCAAAAAATGGCAGTGCAAACGGATATTGAGGCCAATCAGTATACTCTGAAGGCATGTGTGAAAAGCATGACGGCGGTCACAAACTTGTCGAACCGGCTGCAGAGTAGGGCAAATGAGGTGCAGCAGTTAAACGCCCAACTGGCTCTGCTCCAACGCATATATAAGGATGCGCGAGCAGAGATAAGTGTGCTAAAGGCGAAAAATAAGGAGCTGAAGCGGAAGGCTACCGTTATGTTCCGATTTGGAGGTCCGCCATATGCTGCAGAGGAGAGATGACCATATCCACTCCAATCTTCCTAGTCGTTGTGATAATCAATCTTAATAACGAAAATATTCACTCTTAGGTAGTTCTTGGTTTTCCAATCTTCACTTCTCTGCTTCCATTGTTGCTGTTATTAAAATTACACTCCATATAATCTGTTTTAGTTTTGGCTTATCCTGAATCCTTAGATCAAGTGTTTTTTCTTCGAAATCTTCAACTTAGTGTTAATTTCTTCTCTAGTCTCATCCACTAAATACGATATTATGCAAAAAAAGCATATACCATGATAATATAAGATGTTGTAAATATTAGGATGTACTATTGAGGAGAGGGGAAGGTGAAGGAAGAATTAGTTGTGAGGTGAAGGAGAGGAAGGAAAAGAAAAGGAAGGGAAAGTATCCTCCCTCTTGTTTGGTTAGAAAGTACTTAATTAAAGGAGAGATATACTTAATTTAAGTTTTTAATATATTATTTTGAGAAACACTTCACTTCCCTTCCGTTTCCTCCCGAATTTTTGGGGAAAGTGAGGTGCTTAAAATGTTTGTACACTCTCTCCCTCATAACTCTTCCATAGCCCTTCCCTTCCCTCCCTTCTAAAAAATCCAAACATGATTAACTAATTATATCCCTCCAAATTCTTCACTTCCCCTCCTAAACCATCAATCCAAACGAAAGGGTTAGGGAAAAAGGGATTTTATCTCTCATCCATATCTGACATTTTACAATTGAATGCTTGAATGCTATTGAATGTAGCACACTGTAGATAAATTGATAGAGAGAGAATTACAGAGAAAATAAATTGTATGTATTATGATTGATGTAAATTATATATTACAACTATTATTACAAATGGTGGTGAGAGGCTCCTTATATAGGAGATGTAGTGGAGTAGGTGGTAGTGGTAGGTGGTAGGTAGGTGGAGTGGGTTAGGTTTAGTGGAGTAGAGGTGGTAGGTGGAGTGGGTTAGGTTTAGTGGAGTAGGTTTAACAGCCCCCTCAAACTCAAGGAGGTTAGACATAAACCAACTTGAGTTTGGAGAGAGTAAACACAGAAAAAATAAGTTGACAAATAAAATTAAAAAATGGGATAGGAGACACTGTATGGTCGTGTCAGACCGTTGTAGAAGACACGGTATGGTCGTGTCGGACCGTTGTAGCGAGACATTTACAGGTCATGCTCGGACCGATGTAGCAGACACTGTGTGGTCGGTGTCAGACCGATGTAGAAGACAGTTTATGGGGTCATGTCGGACCGTTGTAGCAGGACAGTTTACGAGTCATCCGGACGTTGTAGAAGCTGACCGGAATCAATGTCGGGACAGTTTACGGGGTCATGTCGGACCGGTGTAGAAGGACAGTTTACGGGGTCATGTCGGACGGTGTAGAAGACAGTTTACGGGGTCATGTCGGACCGTTGTAGAAGACAGTTTACGGGGTCATGTCGGACCGATGTAGAAGCTGACCGGAATCAATGTCGGGACAGTTTACGGGGTCATTGCGGACCGTTGTAAGAAATTGTGGTGTGACTTAGGGAGTGCGCCATGGGCGACTTATACATGATACTGTGTATAACCCCCCCTCAACTCAAATAGGTGTGAAGATAGAAACCTATTTGAGGTTGAAACAAAGGGATTGATAAAGCTGACCGGTGTAGAAGACACTGTATGAGTGTGTAGATAGGCTGCCCAAAAGATATACATGGATAGAGATATCGAGCCCTCAAAAGTCGTGCCCTCAAAAGGTGTGCCCAATCTTTCAAAAGGCGTGCCATCAAAAGGCGCGCTCAGTTTGTCGTCGAGCGCCGAGCGGCGCATGATGCGCGTGTCTGCCTTGGCTATTTAACCAAGACGGAGGCTGAGGCTGAGGCAGAGGCTAGACAAAAAACCTGCGAAAATCCTCTGAAAAACTCTTCCGTTTCTGAGAGAAGACTCTGTAACACTCTGTTGCCAGAAAATGGCGTCGTCGTCCCGTGGTCTGCTCACTCTCTTCCTGACCTCAACGAGTCAACAAGAGAGATAACTGGTGCGGTGGCGAGTGAAACCT